GTCGTTAGAATATAATAATTAATGTAATACGTTTTGAAAAAACAACAGTATTTTCTGAACAAACGCTCCCTCTCTCCTACTAACTACAGCTTCTTTTCAGAGATTGTGACCGCGCGCAATGCGGTCAGTAGAATCAGTGTTTGTCGCGTAACATTTTTAGTATTTTTCAGAGCAACACTGCTATTAATAATTATAAATTCAATTATAATAGTTGTCTGCGAAATTAGAATCAGTGTTTGTTCGCCGATTGTAATTTGAACGCGCGCGTTGAGTTTTTCCTTTTTTTTTTTTTTATATTTTGTATAAGTGTACATATTACATTTTAAATATTCGTCATCTCGATATTAGAATCAGTGCTTCTCTCAAGAGGATACAGCCTCTCCGAGAGCCAAAAATAGTAAGTGTCTCTGTACATCTTATTAAAAAATAAAAGCAATCAATAATTTGAGAGTTTTTAATTATAATATTTCTCTTTTTGTTTGTTAAAGATATTTCAAAGCTTTGCTTCTTCCTATTTTCTGGGGAGGATGTGGCAGTGCTCCAAAAACCTACAATGTAAGTACATAGTACTTCAATCAATTTCTTTTTTATATACATTTTGTTTAAATTATTATTAATTGAGAAATAAATTTTTTCCACATTAGGACTTCTATCATGGGATAGAACTTTGTGATGACTATCTTGGTACTTTGAAAGCCAAAGTTGTAAGTATTTTTGAATATTATACTTCAATTAATTATATTTTGTGCTTATATGCGTTGCTTATTATTTTGCATATTTTATATCTCATATTTTACAATGTTACAGATTTTTCTTAACTTGCATTTCCACCATGGGATCAGTTCTTCTTGGTGACAGTCTTCGAGGCGACCTTCCACGGGCTATCACAGTATCGCAGCATCGATGACTATATTCTTCACATCTAATTGTGAGTCGCATGCCTTTTGGTTCCTCTGGTCACTCAATCATGTCGTAAGATGAAAGGTCCGAATCGACACGGGTGACTGGTTGTATTACGTAGAATTTTTGCGAGCATAGCGACCACGGGTATTTGTTGTATCCGTGATTAATAACATTTTCTTTTTCTGTGTATTATATTAGTTCAGGATAGATCTTCTTGCACACGGTTTTCGAGTCGCGTTTCTCTTGTTATATTAATAATATGATATTGACATTTTAAATAACATTAATACAATGATATTATACTAACAATAAAACTTAATTTGAATATGTACCAATGCTTTTTGAAGTCAAAATGTATTGGGGATGCATATTTGTAGATGTAAATATATAAACGAAATATAAATAAATAATAATTATTGGAATGATTTACATAATTAAATAGTATTAGTAGCGGAGAAGTCGGATACCCTCCGACTTCGTTGTATTGAAAATTTTTAATGTAATATACATTATAAATAAT